TGAACATTACGTTTTCAGACATAGGATATCGCTTTCGTGTCCTGAAAAACGTTTGTCTAGCTCTTGGAAATAAAGTACGTTTTCATAATAAGCAGAAGTTACCTGTCCAGGAGTAATTTGGCGACCAATGCGTCAGTCTTTAGACCCTGCGTCTGCTTCAGTTGCACCATCGCTGGAATGAATCTACAAGAATCACCTTAGTTTGGCTTCGCTGCTTTTCCCCTTGTCTTCTTCTTTCAGCGACCTCAAAAACTGACTTTCTTTTGCGGCTAACTGCTCCTGGATTCTTGTCTGCCATTGCAACAAACTTTGTGCGAACTGCGAGGAAGATATAGGTCAAAAAAAGCCGCTAAGAACTGTTGCGTTGGTGGAGTAAACAGCGTCTGTATGTCTTGCGTCTGTGGACTGCGTGACAGGCGCAAACCACGTACCGGCGGCGCGCAGGCAAGTCAGTTACGCTAGAAACGTAGGGAGTTTGATTGACAGCCTGTCAGCTAACAGATAACGAGGCAGTGTCGTTATCTATTGGCAAATGTTTAGCTAGCCCCACCACGTCCAGAGTTGATGAATTTTTATTCTCTTTTTTGGTCATCATAATTACAAGGCTACTGCATCTCTATAATGCTATCATTGACAATTTGAAACAAAAAAAATCCTCCATACAACCTTTAAGGAAAAAAACTGAGGTGATTTATGTGCATGTTAATAGATTTAAACGTCATTATACAACAAATTTAAGATAAAGTAGAAATGTAGCTTTATAGATATAGATACTATAAACTTTATTTACATTATCTACAATAAAATCAGCCATAACCAAATGCGTTGCAGTTCTACACTTAATTCACAATACACTTAATACACATTCTAGCTTAATACACCTTAACATAAAATTTATAAAAACAACTACACATGTTAACAAAAAGCAAGTACAAACTGCGATGTCTGAATACAGCAAGAAGATTTGCAGGCTGGCGTAGCAGGAGCGTCTGTGACGCTTTGGTGTGAATTGAAACTTTTAAATGTACACATGCACGCAGCTCCATCTACGTTAAGTGCTGCTGCAGCTCCTGGTGTGAATTCGGGGTAACCCTAACTTCTAACCTAACCCTGCCATTTTCCCAAAAATTTTGCACATTTTGATTAAAAAATAAAATAAAATAAAAAAATCTAATTGTGAACTGCTGGTTGTAAAGGGGTGTGGTCGCAGTGTACATTTTTCCTATTGCTCTCATGCAAATGATGCTACCAGATTTGGTTTTGCTAAACTTTGTAAGGACATCCCATTGGCAAGGACAGTTTTTTTGCTTGTTGCCATGTCAATACAATGTAAATGGGTGTGGGCGTCATTGAGTTTTTTACGTGAGACCATGTCACAAATGTGTATACCAAATTTTGTATGTCTATGACAAATAAAACCTTATTGTTCCATACAAATTATGTAGGGGGCACTACTGCACCCATTTTTGTATTTTCTTTCATCAATCTGTTCAGGGTAAAGGTGTACACCCTTGATTAAAATGTGAGTGAAATCAGCCAACTTTTGGCAATTTTACCATTAGAATAACATGGAAATTAAATTAAATTTTGTCACATCCATTAGCTTTAGGGCAGGGAGTTTAACAACTGATTCAAATTTCACTGAAATTAGTTTGTTTGTGCAAATGGGAGAAATTTGTACTTTTCCAAAATCTCCAAATTGTGTGCATTTTTTTGTTGCTTCACTGCTCAGAGACCATAAGATGTGTGTGAAAAATTTGGATAACTTTTGATGTCCCACCTCGTGAGATAATGTGCACCAAATATGTGCCCATTTGGGTAAACACGTTCGGAGGAGTTTGTAAAAGTATGAAATTTACAAAAAATATGTTAACTCATGCTTAGCAAACTTTAATCCAATAGTGCTGACCCATGGTGGGTCATCTGTGTCAAATTTCATGAGTCTTTTTAATGATTTCTTTTTGTCCTGATCCCTAATTTATTTTTGTGTTGTTTGGGGGCACTGACAAGGCAAATGGAAATAGCCAAAAGTTAGAGAAGTGCAAGACAAAATTTCAGGACTTTTCATCATTGTGCAATGGCCGAAAAATGGGTGAGTTGGATAGAAAAATTTGAAGGAGAAGAAGAAATATTAAAGCCACAAACGGCGTAAAACTGCTCTCACCCAGTGCACGCGACCGCCCCGGCACTTTATCGTCCCTTCCCGAGAGCTGCCCAAACGAACAAATCGTCCAACAGAAAAATTACATAGTGCACTTTTGAAATGTTTTTTTTTAGGAGTCTTTGCACCCCTGCTGGCCAACCGTGAAAAATGCCCTATGTCAGTAATATGTTTTTGCTTCTAATCCTTCATAGAACTTAATTCTGAAATTTGATGCAAATCCGATGTTTCATGTCTGTCCTACGGGGCACATGCATAGAATTTTATTCCCAAATTTGGTACAGAGCCGATAATGGTGACATTTCATGTCTATGGTAGGGAGAGCTATAGTGTTCATTTTTCATATGCTTTATAGTGTATTTTATTCAGGCTAAGATCATGCAAATTTCATCACGATTGGACTAAGCATGTGCGAACGGGAGTGAATCTTAACATTTAAGATTACTTAAACTTTTCATTCAAATTTGCGGTTTCACTACACGTGAACCGTACCCTGATTCATCGGCCGGTTTCAGTTCGTGGAGACCGCTGCTCAACGGTAGGCGGGTACTTTTTAAAATTTAAACAGTCGCTGCTATTTGGTTGTGACATATGTAATGCGCCTCTAATGGGGCTAACTGGTATATTAAGCTTTTCCCAAATCCCGGAGACAGAAGGGCAATACTGTCTTTCCCCTTGATAAAATTCACCCAGACTCGCACTTCCGGGGTTTTTGTGAACCATCCTAGTGTATTCTGATTCCTGACCTAGTCGCTGGAGAGAAATGAAATTGAGCGGAGGCACTAAGTGACACCAGCTTGGCTACATAAACCGTGATGGTTATCAAAAATAATTTGGCTAACTTTAGATGTCCCACTTCTATAGATGATGTATGGTGATTTTCAGCCCTGTGGGTGAAGTGCCTTCAGAGGAGTGCGTTCAAATGCAACGTCAGCGTTTATACAACTTTAATCCAATATGGCTGTCTTCTGGTTTGTCAGGGGGCATGGATAATAATATTTTTTGTTTGTCTTCACATGACAAATGTGTGTATCAAATTGTACCATGGCTCTACGACAAAGTTGACATTGGGACGGCTCCCATAGGCACAATGTATTTTGAGTTTTCCAGGTGGCACAATGTTGCAATTTTTTATGCCCATGTATGCAACCTATATTTTATTGAATTTTTCGTCATTTCTGAATTCTGGGCAAAGTTTGGTGAGTTTTTGAGCGTTTTTAGGGGGTCATATCAGAGCTCAAAGATCAGAATAATAATAAAATAATAATATATATATATATATATTTAGCATTAGCAAAAACTATGGGTCCAGTCAAGTGGTAACGGAGGGAAACGGGCAGATTTTTTACATTCAAATAGCTCTTATTCAGAAACTAGAGAGACTATTGAAATAAGTAAGGTGATTAGAATGTAGGAAAGAGTTAACACTCCAACAGGGTAAAGTTAACCCTGTGATATTCTTTCAAGTTGTTGACAAAAAATTAAAAAACTCATGTCAGTAACGGAAGGAATGAAATATGCAGCACTTTTTGGGCAATAAATACAAACAGCGATAACTAGCGGTTCTCACTTGCATATCCTTAACAAACTGGGTTGAATATTTGCAAATATAGTATATAGTTGCATGTTTGGTTATTCTACTTATTAGTTTGTACTAGGAAATGAATGCTTTGGCTGTAAGCTAGGCAATACTTAAAGAACACATACTGTGCTTGAGTCTGTTATATGGTAATAATCTACAACACCTGTGGATCATTGTTATAATTTGCACATTTTAAATTGCAATATTCAAAGAAACAAGTCCTCTGACTTCCACGTTAGAAAGTTGCCATGCCTAATGGGAGCAGATGTCAAAATGAATGTCATCAAAACAAGAAGTTGCCAACCCTGATGGATAGCTGTAGAATAGGAGAATAAATTAGGAGAATGAAGCGAGTTCAGGGCAGTGGGCATATACCAGTGGTGGTGAATACAGTCGACTGGCAAAATGAGTCTTGAAAATAAGTTATTAATGATTGATTAAACATGCACGAATCACTCCAAATACAACTTTTGAGAAAGTACATGAGAAGGGGAAATGAACATGGTTAAAAGCTCTGACATGGTGTTCTAGTTGATTAATCTCCATTTGGACTTTGCCAATTGTTTGTTCTATATGATGATACTAAAAGCACTGTAATGACTATTATGATGAGTGTGCCTGTTGATTTGATACCATCTCCCTTTTACAAATTTAAGGTGTGCAATTTAGTATCTGTAAACTTGGGTCACTACTGCAGTATATGACTTCTGTATTCAGCTCAGTTGTTGTCATGTTTGAGCATATAACCCAATACACTAAAACTTTAAAATGGACTGCCTGAATACACCTATAGTGTATAATATAAATATAATATAAATTGAGCCATTTGTGTAAGAGTAATGTAAATTGCAGCATGCTGTTTTATTAGCTGGACATGAGTGCCTTCATGGAGGTGTTTGTGGATGCAGCTAAGCTTGGTCAGTTCCCTCATGTGTCAGCTCCCATGGCATCATGATGCTGTTGTAGTGTTAATGGGCCCGTGGAGGGGTGCTAATTGATTCATTCTCCCCACACTCATTCTCATTAACACTCGTTCCCAGGGAAGCATGTATCTCTCCAGGATCCCCTCTGCTTCCCCTGTGGCTCTGCTCTCATGCAGTTTTGTGTTGTGTGGGGACTGGTGCAGGAAGACTCCCAACCCTACTCGACAATCAGGCCATGACCTCACCTCCAAGGCTGCTTGCTTGTTTTGTTTTGTTTGTTTTAATCTCAACTTTGACAGATAGTAATTAATAAATTATTTTCTTTTTCCAACAGTATTCGCAGTGTGATGCAGAAATACCTTGAAGAGAGAGATGAACTGACATTTGACAAAATTTTCAACCAGAAAATTGGTGAGTTAAATCATCTCATAATATATCAAATGTTTTCACACACACACGCACACACATTCATACTCACATTACTGAAAAAAGTGTGTTCTTATAATTCATGATTCATGACATTTTGAAGCTTTGGAAAATGTAGATGATGCAAAAAAAGTACCCCCGATAAATATTGCCCCCCAAAAATAACTGTTCCATGTTTTTAAAGTCCATACACATTTATTTACTGATTCCATGCACAGATTTATTGTGATAATTTCACACTTCAGATTCACTTCAAGTACAAATACTAACTGTACATGTACAAACCAGATTTCTGGCCGACTCTGATTATAAAATGATTTTTGGAATGCATCTACATGCTCTAATTTGAAAACAGAAATCACATTTATAGGAGTAACATAAGTGAAGAACACTGATCATGCTTGGAGAACTGCTGTATACATGAAAAGATGAGCGTTAAGCGTGTACTTGCCCATTCAAGACCTGCAGTGAGGATATTCATAGGCACTTTTGCGAATATGCGCAAAAAGGGCTGCAAAGTGCAATCCTCAAAAATTAGGCCATTGCGACAAAACTCAAAACTCCTGCAAATTTCCACCAATCACACTCAAACTCCGAACTAGGAATGGGCAATATTTCGGTTCAGTGGTATATCTAGGAGCAGTTTAGCACTGATATTATTTAGAAGTTGCCATAGTCTCTGTGTGTCCAAAGCCTTGTTTCCATGGTCTGAAGGGTAGCGGTACAGTACACTGTCTAATGAGCACTGTACTTCCGTATTTAAGTGGTCTGAAGCAGACCCTGGAGGGTACTGGCTGTCTTGATCTTGTGATAAACTGCCATATTTCCAGTTATGGCTACTTTATATGTTGCGCCGGTTCGCGTCACATAACTAAGCTAGCTTGCTAGCATAAGCTGCTTCCGGTTTGTGTATAAAGATGGAAAATGTAATATTTCCTGTGCATAATGCGTCTATGTAATGCATTGGGGTTGGGCAGAGAAGTGTAATAAATGCAGAAAAAGCTGACGATAAACCAGAAGTAGGTAGTGTTTACTCTAGGTTTAGTGATGTCTCACAGTGCTACAAACTTGGAATTACTAAATGTCTTTTTATGAACTGCTGAAATCAGCCTTATAATTATGTGTATAATTCAGAATCTATGTTTTTTATTAAGAAAACTTTTGTAGTGTTTGGGCGACATCGGTGTGTCACAGAGCAGAGCCCTGACCGTGCTTAGAGCATGGAACCACAACTTGGTTGAAAGGAGCCACACCAAATAGACCCAAGCAAACAATACCAGTGTTGAAGAGGCTCATATGTCATTCCTAGTTTTTCCACCATTCATCAGATATCGCTTTGAACAGACTGAGGAGTAAAAGTAGAAATAGAAGAGTTTAGGCTTATTAGGCTAGATGTATGAGTGTATGCTTACACAATACATGTATATTGTATATCCCACATAAATAATCAGGTTGACACCCACATGGAAATTAGTCTTACTTTACTTTCAGTTTCTACAGCTGCTTGATTCTCAGACTTCAAATACTCCCAAAGTTTTCTCTACCTGAGTCTGTGCATGCCCTTTGTGTGCAGAATGTATATGCTCCAAATGTATTTTCTTTAATCTGGGGTAGCTTTTTCTACTGTAAAAAATTGTAATTATGTATTTAGACCAAGTAAGGCAGAAACGTGAAACAAGGGTGGACCACCCTTGGCCAGCTAATCAGCTCATTCCAATGCGTCATATAGAGACTTGCATAGCTCATCTTTCTCTTATTTCTACTTTACTTTTCCGGCCATACTCTAGACCCTCAGGTGTATCTGCTTTCACTCATCCTTAAAGTCATCACAGGAAAGAGTACCTCCTATAGTTTAGTATTACATACCAAAAAGTGTAAATTCATTCAGATTGCAGTTGAATAAAAGTCAAACATGGTTACCTTGATGCTTGTATGGTTGGCATGTGGTTTCTATCCTGAGCAGAAAGCAGTCTGCCAGTATGTGGTGCATCCAGGGATGACAGTGGCCCTACAGGCTTCAGTGAGGCTTACTTACTCTTGTGTCTCAGCCCCCTGTGAGAATAGACTGTTAATTCTATCTGCCACCTTCACTCTGCTTTTGTCCTTATTCTGTCTCACACTTGTTGATTCCTCCACTTTCCTACATCTAATTCCTACTTCACAAAGTGACAAAGGGACTGAAAGTTGTATTCATTTGTGTATACAACCACAACTGTTACATATTTGATTTTCAGCTCTAAATGATTAGAGAAATCTACAATCTGCAAATTGATTTTTATAACTGCTCAGAATGATGAGGGTGACTTGTGGATCAGAACAAGAGCAAAACACCACATGCTATACTAGTGTTCATTTGAAATGCAAATGCTTTGTTTGCACGTTTCACTACCTAGCGATACTTGTTCTGCATGTCACATGAACTACAAAAGCCTAAATCTTGCTGTGGTTTGGGTTGTTGTTTTGTTCTTAAACCTTTAAAACATAATTTTTTTTTCAAATGTATATTTGCAATGCATCTAATTAGTAAAATATTCTCATAACTGCAAGTGCATGTGCATGTCATGGCTTCTGGAATATGTTGATGAGTTCTAGTCTTTCTGTCCTTCTGAGCAGTAAATGAGTCTCAATTTAATTTAACCATACCATACAATTAATTTTCCCTCTATGGCTGCAATTAATTTAAATTGTTGATAAACAGTTATTTCAACAAGTTTACTATTTTTTCTACCAGATAAAATATGCTGATAAAAAGATTCATAATTTACAAATGAGGTGCAAAAAAAAATAAAAATAAAAGTCACAAATGTTATTTTTTGCCATTTCCAATTTATAATGCCATTGTCTCTTTAAGATAAAACATTGTTTGGTATATATTTTTTTCTGTATAATCCAAATATTATATTTTATTTAATAGTATTTTATTTAGTATTTTATTTTAATAAAATGGTATTTTATTTGCTGATGACACCAGCTTGTACTGCTCTGAGCAAAATGTTGATCACGTCTTGGACAAAGTTCAAACGGAATTGGCAACTCTAAAGAAATGGTTTGACACCAATAAATTATCAATTAATTTGAATAAAACCAAATACATTATTTTTGGAAATAAAAAAATAAATAAACAGTGCCATATAAAAATTGGTAGTACAGAAATTGAGAGGGTGTGCTCAACAAAATTCTTGGGAATAAAGATAGATAATAAATTAAACTGGAAACTGCACATAAACATACTGAAGACAAAGATTTCAAAAACCATTGCTATATTATGTAAAATTAAAAACTCTGTAAATCATAATGCACTCAGATGATTATAAAACACTCTCATCCTTCCATACCTTAACTATTGTTAAAGTGTTATTGGGGAATAATTATAAAACAAACAACAATTCAGTTTTTTTTTTACTGCAAAAGAAAGCTATTAGAATTGTAAATAATGCTGATTACTATGCCCCAACAAATGCTCTCTTTATTAAATTAAATACATTAAAATTACATGATTTTGTTGATATAAATACTGCAATTGTCATGTTTAAGGCACATAACAATGTGTCCCTCATAGTATCCAAGACATGTTCAAACCCAGAGAGATTGAGTACAATCTGAGAGGATTGAGCCTCTTTTGGAAATCTCATGTGAGGACCAGCCTGAAAAGTCGATGTGTCTCCATCAGAGGTGTTAATCTGTGTAATAGTCTGGATGAAAGTTTAAAAGGCTCCAAACCAATTTACTCATTTAAAAAAATAAAATATATAAGACCAAAATTATAGAGAAATATAGAGAAATACAGTGAATCACATTTTACCTCATGGAACTTACAGAATAACTGTAACCCTCAATTATATTTATATATTTCAGTGTATTTATAAACCAATAGGTATAAATATGAACATGTACATGGTCAGTGTGTGTATGATCGACGTATATTGGATTGTGTTCTGTATTGTATATGTGTATACTAAAAGATTTAGGGACATCTTCTTTCCTGCACTCATAAAAGATGAGTTTTGTGTTGTTTTCTTTAAATAGTTCTGCCATCTTGTATCCTGTTCTGTATGTTAATAGGGTTAGGCAAAACAAGTGTTAAACTTCAGCCTTTACTCCTTCGGTGTATAGTATAACCTTAGTGATGTGCATTAACTGCATAACTTTTTTGTGTTAAATCATTGAAATATGATGTATGATTATGTTAATTGACCGAAGAAAGTAGTTAGTTAGTAAACTAACTAAACTAAATAAAGATTAATGATTATTTCAACAGTTGAGTAGCTATGATAATTCCGATTTAATCTTTTCAAGAGGTGAGTGACAGTTGTAAGATTTGGATGAAATAATATCAAATTGTTTTTAATTATGTCCTGCTGGGTGGAGGTTTGGTAGGTGGAAAGTTCACACAATGGACTGTGGCTATTTCGTAGGTGTTTCTATTCTAAAGTGGGTGATTTGAGTTTTGTATTGGAGATGGACTTTGGTCTGTGCATGGCATTCTTTGCTCCAATAGTGTGCCTGACCTTGTTACAGTGTTGTTGGAATAGAGGTTTAATGTCCAATTTAACCTTCCATAACTGACAGATATACACAACATGAACACATTTTTTAATATTTATTTCAGGGTTCTGATTACTGTTACAGTCCTCAAATAAACCAAATTAAATAAACAATAAAACTTAACAAATTACAATTTGCTATTTGTCATTAAGAAATGTACAGTTTTTTAATTTACTGTCCCAAGTCATTTCTCTTGTGGATCATTTGAGTTTCTCTGAAAATGAATGAAAAATATCTCACAACAGGAAAGTTGGTATGTTATTAAAAGTATCCCAACTGTGGCCCTATTTCACGTGAGAGCATATCAAAGGACGGTACATGAAACGTACCTGGAACTGCAAAACTATTTGCACTGTCAAAACCCTATAGTGCACCTGTAGTGAACCTTGCAACAAGCTGTGTATGGTTTGACCTTTTCTTTTTGGAATTTCTTTATAGAA